CTTGAACATCCTGAACAACTTGGCATTGTCAACGACTTCGTTCCAGCTTCGATCTGGGGTTTCGATGAGTTCAAGCAATTGCTTTTGCGAGACGGGGTGCAGACAGCTGCTTTCTTTCAGTGCCAGTGGGAAGCTGCATCAAGCAAACCTACGCGTTTTGTTTGGGGCTCTACAGACTTTGCCGATGCCACCCTTTTCGCTGGTGTGCCTCGGCTAGACGCGAATAGCCGCTATCGCGGCCCCTTGCCACCGCCATCGACACGAGATGCGACTGCTGGGCAAGGACTCGGCGAACACTTGGGCATCGGCCTCAGCAGCTTATCCTCTGCCCATGTGCACTTGGCTGGCCAAGAATATGCTGCGTCTCTTTCGCGATGATGGGGCTGGGGACGCACTTCTTGTCCAGGGACCGGGGGATGACCCAGTGCCGGGAGACAATGGGGTTGATCATGGTTTTCCTCAGGCTGGGGGTCACGATCCAGAGGAGGACTCCGATGCCTCTGCTGGTGATGAGACTTTCGTCTCTTCAACTGGAAATGCCTGGGCCCGTGAATCAAGAATCTGATGCTGAGAAATTTGCTGCTCGCCTCCTCAAGAGGGGTAGGGCTACGATGGTGGAATTTGAGACACTGTGTGGGCTTCTTCCTGGAATCCCGGGCAACTGCCGGGGAGTTGACTTCGAAGACCTTCGTGAGTGGGCTGTACCAACAAGGTGGGATCATCGGTCTGCGCGCGCACGTTGCCAGCCACCCTTGGACCACGGCGCTCTTGTGTTCCATTCTTCGTGCTGCCTGTCCGGGTCCGGTCTTCACTTCGGTGGTTATTTCTCGAAATCGCCAGGTCCTGCCTCACAGCGACAGTCAGAATGGCCTCAACACTTGGAATATCTTGGTGCCTGCTTCAAGATTCTGGGCCGGGGGCGTGTGGCAGGAGTGCGAGGACGGTGCAGACCCCATGGAGTATGAGGGCACAGTGCACTGGGGCAAAATCTTGCCAGTGGCTTCAGGTCCTCAGCTGCTGGACCCGCGACGGCTGTTTGCAACGTTATCTTGGAAAGGCATCCGCACGGTGGTCATTGGCTTCTCTATTCGGGAGCCACATAAGGCGAGCCGCCAAATCAAGACGATGTGGACGAAGCTTTCAGGCCTAGCTGAGGCGACGCAGACCAATGAGGCTCTCGGGGCAGGGCACCAACCACCTTTGCAACTCGTGGAGCGGGCATCGGGCGAGGAAGGAGACACCTTCCATGGCCACCTCGTCCAGGCGCCCAAGGACAACTTTGGAGATCCTCTCACCGTGCAATGGAGGGGCAAGGTGCACTCCTTCGTGGATGGTTGCGGGCTCAACAGCCACGGGCCGTTGGCGCCCCACGGCTCGAGGACGCGGGATCACCGGTGAGCAAGAGGCCTGCGTGAAATCCTTGAGGAAGCTTCTCGACGATTTCATCCGATCCGAGATCGGAGATGTTCAGAGGGCATTCTTCATGCTGGCTTTGGGGAAGTACGAGGAGGCACCGTTCTCAGATCAGGCCATGTCTCGTCTACGTGCTGCCTGGTTCGGGTTGCTCGAGGATCCTTCATCGGCTTCTCACCTGGACAACCCTTCTACTTGGAGGCGCTTTCGCAGACTTGCCGGGCAATGGGGGATGAGGACTGGGAGGTCCTCACCCGTGCGGAGGACAACTACTCTAGGGAGCGCAGGCTGGGAGTCAATCGCCCCTTCCCGAGGGTGGTTGCTGTCTTCAGGCCGAAGGGAAAGTGGCGAGAGTACGATGAGTCTGAGTTCCAGGCAATAAACGAAAACTATGCTTCAGCTAAGGCGGTTCCAGATCAACTTGAAAAGCAGTTTGAGGAGGAAGAGGCCTTGGGCTTCATGTATCCCCTCTCCGAGAAGGAGGCACGCCGTCGTTTCGGGGATACGCTCAGGGTTGCTAGCCTTGGTGCCATCATTAAGGATGATGGCTCGGTCAGGGCATTGTTCGACGGAACGCACTCTGTCAAGTTGAACAACATGATCACCGTTGCTGATAAGCTAGAGTTTCCTACGCCATCAAACGTGGCGCGGGCCATGGAAATCCAGCTGGAGGACGGGAACCATCTTCTTGTGGGGATCGCTGCAGATATTGCAAAGGCACATCGCAGATATAAGCATGCTCCGGAGGATCATGGGTACTTGGGATGTCGTGCCCGTCCCGATGGGCCCGTATGGATTAATCGGGTTGGGACTTTTGGTGTGGCGTGTGCAGCGTATCATTTTGCAAGGTTGGCAGGCTTGGTGGGCCGTGGTGCGCTCCGTATGGCCCAGCAGGCGACCTTGTTTCAGATGCTTTTTGCAGATGATTTACAAATCATGGCTGGAGGGGAGAGCAAGTATCACGACATATGGGTTGTGCTCCTCTACTGGCTCATGGTGGGTACTCCCTTCAAGTGGTCCAAGTTCCGAGGAGGGGTCTG